TGGTCCAGCAGGCATGGCTAGGGACGCTACATTTCTTTCATGGCGCACTGGGTAGCTCTGCTGGCAGCTGGGAAGGATGCAGGACAGGGTTCTATGCTGGAGCTTGTTCCACACCCACACTTCCAAAAAGCTGGTGGTGATTCTGCCACATCTGTCTGCTCTATCCCCTCCTCTTCCTCTATGCCCTCTTCTGCTGAATTGTCCTCTGAACTAGCAGTGCTACCTACATGTTCAAGGGGATATGCAAGCAATCAGGCTAAAGGATGACAGCTGGTCTGTCTATGGGACAGGAGCCACACTGGGGCAGAGATTCTGTCAGCTCTGCAGGGGCAGGCTCATAGGTGGTTGATGCCACAGCAGCTTGAGCCAGGAATGGTGGTATGCAACAATGGCACCAACCTTCTCTCCACCCTCTGGCAGGGACACTTGACACATGCTCCATGCTTGGCACACATCCTGAATTTTGTGGTGCAGCATTTCTTGAACAGGTACCCAGGCTTACAAGATCTTCTAAGGCAAGCCAGAAAAGTCTGTGGCCATTTCCGACAGTCATACATGACCAGTTTTCGTCTGGCTGACATTCAACTGGAATTCAACCTGCCCACCAACCACCTCATTTGTGACATGCTCACCAGGTGGAACTCAACATTGGCAATGCTGCAGTGGCTGCACATGCAGCAGAGGGCCATCGAGTACCTGTGTGAGTATGGCACAAGCACTGGCTCAGGGGAGCTTGACTTCTTTTCACCAAGCCAGTGGTTGCTGATAAAGGATGCATGCACTTCCCTGTCACCATTTGAGGAGGCCACAATGATGGTGAGCCGTAACAATGCATGCATCAGTGACACTATCCCTCTTCTTCCTGTTGGAGCACACACTGTATGGAATCATGGACAGGGCATTTGAGGCAGAACAGCAGGAGGAACAGAAGGAGTCCCTTTACTCTCAAGGCCCCCTTTATGCAGATACCATTCCTGTGGGGCAGAAGAACACACAGGAGGAGGAGGAGGATTGTGGCAACATGGAAGTAGAAGATAACATACGGCAGTTTTCAAGGGATGGTTTTCAGTCCCCAGAAACCCCAGGAGTAGTACGTGGCTGGGAGGAGGTAGTTCCTGAAAGTGTCATCCTCAGTGACCCAGAGGACTCAGAATCTCATGCCTCTTCAAATTTACACTGCATGGGCTCCCTGATTCTGCAAGGCTTGTGAAAGGAGAGGGATCATTACTGGTTGGCAACCCTTCTTGATCCACATTACAAGGGTAAAGTTGCAGAGCTTATCCTGCCTTCACAGTGGGCACAGAGGATGAAACATCTTGAGGACACCTTGAAGACAAATTTGTGTAACACTTTCCAGTCTCTGGGAGGTTACCTGGACAACACTTTTCTGAGGCTTCATTCAGTCAAAGGAAGAGCGGTGGAGAAAGCGGCTGGCTGTCAGATACCTTAAAACAATTCTTTAGTCCTCAGTGTCCAGGCTGTTAGGTTTAGGCATCCATTGGCAGTGTCTGCATCATATGGTGAAGCGTTATCCAGTGGCAAGAGCAGACTTGGAGACCTTTACCAACTGAGGATCCACTGGGTTACTGGGTCTTGAGGATAGATCACTAAGTGACATATTGGCATGAATGTCACTCTTCTTCCTCAAACTCAATCTTTCTAAAACTGAGCTCAAAATATTCCCTCCAGCCTGTGCCCCCTCCCCTGACTTCTCCATCAAGATCAATAATACAACCTTCAGTCCCTCCCCTCATGCCAGGGTACTAGGTGTAATCCTAGACTCCCATCTCTCCTTTCAGCCCCAAATCCAATCACTGTCCATATCTTGTAGACTTCACCTCTGTAACATCTCCAAGATACACCCGTTTTTAACCACCAAAACCACACACATGCTCAGACACACACAGAAATGCTTACCTGGTTCCATGCCACCACTCCAGCTCTGTCTCTGGCTTCGGCTCTGCTCCCTTCACTTCCTGCTTTCACAGGAGAAAATGAGGGCAGCAGAGCCAAAGGCCCCTGGGATGTGATGAGGGAGTGGCGGCATGGCTTACAGGTACTGTGCGTGTCTATGGATGCACATAGCCTGGCTCGGGAATGTGCACACACCAGTGCCTCCTTAGCACCCAGCTTGCTGCAGAAGAAACCTGCCAGAGAGAGAGGATGACAGAGCCAGCAGGGGATTGCCAGAAGACGAGGTAAGCGACCTTCTGTGCAATATTACTACACATAGCAGGCAACTAATACCTTTTTAAAAAATAAAAAATAAAATTATTGTAAAGTCTAAAATGTTTTTTTGTTTTTAAAATTAATAATTGCACAGAATGGCCACGATCCTCCTCTTTTTGGGTCCTCCACTGCCACCATTGGAAGCCACTTCCATTGTGGCACACTTACGGGCACGATCCCAAGACGAACCGTCCATAGACACAGATAGCGTGGCTTGGCCTCCTGCTCTATTTTGACTAATAGCAGCTGCAGCCAATGACCACTGCTGCCTCAGCAAAGCCTGTGAGAGTGGGGAGAGCTGCTACAGATGGGCATAATGCTGGATCGCATGAGAATTTAGGTAAGTATAACAGGGGTGAGGGGGCGATACAGGTACTGGAACATTTTTTTACTTTAATACAAGCAATGCATTAAGGTAAAATGTTTAGGCTTTGGAAGCACATTAAGCTTTTAATATCACTTAATGAGCTTAATGGGTCAGTACAATTATTCTGTTTCTCTCTAATTAAGACACATAAGACTGGTACTATATTTCTGATGAACTTTTAGAAATCTGTGCATGTACCCAAGCTTAAAATGGTTGTAAAGGCTCCTGTTTTTTTTTTACCTTCATTCATTCTATGCATAAAGGTATAAAACTTTCTGTGTGCAACAGCCCCCCAGCCCCTCTAAGTCCTCATGCACACTTGATGTTTTTACAGCGGCTGTTTTTGGCTTTTGACATTTTTTTCTACATCCAGTAAACTCCTCAGCATGTTGTCCTATGTGTCCATACACACATAGACTGTAATCAACGTTTTTTGGCTGGAAAAAAAAACCCAGAATTAGCGGGTTTCTAGAGGAGCTTTTTAGCTGTAAAAACGCTCTAAAGCTGAAAAAACGCTGAAAAATGTGGCAAAACGTGGTAAAATGCTGCAAACCGCCATTTTTGGACTTTTTTTTTATCCCGAAGCATTGAGGGGTAAAAAAACGCAAAAAAATGCAAACATGGAAAAACAACGCTAATCGTAGCAAAACGACACTAAACGCAAATGCAAAAACGCTAAAAAAAGCTGAAAAACTCAGGTTTTTAACGTTATTTTACACAGCTAATGTTACCAGCATTATCAAAACGTCCCGTGTGCATGAGGGCTAATACTTACCTGAGCCTCGGGAGCGAGCATGGTTGGGTGCCCCCATAGAAAGCTGCTTGCTCCGAAAAGAGGAGGATCAAAGCTGCTCTGTGCTGAACCATTACATAGAGCAGGTAAGTATAACATGTTCAAATCCCAACCATGGCACCACCTGCCTGGAGTTTGCATGTTCTCCCTGTTCCTGCATGGGTTTCCTCCAGGTACTCCAGTTTCCTCCCATACTCCAAAGACATGCTGGTAGGTGAATTGGCTTCTGTCTAAATTGGCCCTAGTATGTGTATGTATGAATGTTAGATAGGGACCTTAGATTGTACGCCACTTGAGGGTTAGGGACTGATGTGAATGTACAATATACAGTTGTGTTCAAAATAATAGCAGTCAGACATCACTAACCTGATAAATCACTGTTTTTGGTAGAAATGATATTTGTACATGGCAAATAATTTCCTAGCAGGTGTAGTAGAGTAATAGAAATCCAACAGACCCAACAGTCATGACATGCATGCTGCTGATTCTGTGTAATTGAATCACTAATTGAAAGGAGCATGTTCAAAATAATAGCAGTGTGGAGTTCTATTAGTGAGGTCATTCATTCTTTGAAAAACAGGTGGCAATTATTGCCCTTATTTAAGGAAGGAAGGCAGCAAATGTTGTACATGCTGGTTACAGTGCATTTCTCTCTGAAATTCTGAGGAAAATGGGTCGTTCCAGACATTGTTCAGAAGAACAGTGTACCTTGATTAAAAAGTTGATTGGAGAGGGGAAAACATATAAAGAAGTGCAGAAAATGATAGGCTGCTCAGCTAAAATGATCGCAAATGCTTTAAAATGGCAACCAAAACCTGAAAGATGTGGAAGAAAGCGAAAAAACTACCTGTCAGAGACCATCGCGACGCATGGGTCTACACATGCGGAGGCATCTGTCAAGACATACAGGTAGCAGGGCACTAGGACCCAGGCGCACCCGTCTTCTTGACAGTACTAGGCAGGCACTGGGACCTAGGCGGCGACTGTCAGGTGCAGGGCGGGCTACTTAAGCCAGCCCTGCACAGATGCTTGTTGCCGAATGGTCTTTTGTATCCTGTTGCCTGTGTAGTGAGTACTCTGATCTGGATTGTCTGACCTTGTTGCCTTCTCCTGTCCTGACCCCTTGGCTTGCCTGACTCTGCTCCTGGATGTTCCCTTATAGATATGATCTTTTGATATTGACCCTGCGTGTGACCCGACTATCCTTTGCCTATCGTCTTGTATCTCACCGACCCGCTAGTTACCGACCCAGCTTGTTTGACTCTGACTTTGCTCATCCGTCCATCCATCCCTCAGGGATCCCTGGGCTCCCTCACATCAGACTCTTAACCCGCTGGAGCCCTTGGCAGACTCCTCTACCTCTGGTAGAGATACCTAGCAGCTGCGACCTGGTCCCAGAGCGCTCCAAGTCCATCCCCACCATCAGGGGCCCTGGTGAACAAGTGCTCCGGTACTTAGACTCCGCACTCTGGGGAGGCTCTATCAGGGGACTGATAGAGGTACTGTCAGGTGGTCCGTTACACTACCATTCGAATGGATAGAAGAATAGCCAAAATGGCAAGGACTTGGCCAACAATCAGCTCCAGGAAGATCAAAGAAGGTCTAAAGTTACCTGTGAGCAGGGGCAGACTGACCATTTGGAAACTCGGGCACTGCTCGAGGGCCCAGGATCAGTAGGGGGCCCCATGAGATGCCCCTGGTACCTTTTTCATAGGCTTTTTTGAGTTTGGGCAAGGACACAGGCGCCCCATGATCCCCTATTGCACGGGAGCCCCATGAGTTGTCAGTCCGCCCCTGCCTGTGAGTACTGTTACAATTAGAAGACACCTATGTGAAGCCAAGCTATCTGCAAGAAGCCCCCGCAAAGTCCCACTGTTGAAAAAAAGACATGTGCTGAAGAGGTTACAATTTGCCAAAGAGCACATTGACTGGCCTAAAGAGAAATGGCGCAACATTTTGTGGACTGATGAAAGTAAGATTGTTCTTTTTGGGTCTGGTGGCCGGAGACAGTTTGTCAGACGACCCCCAAACACTGAATTCAAGCCACAGTACACTGTGAAGACAGTGAAGCATGGTGGTGCAAGCATCATGATATGGGGATGTTTCTCATACTACGGTGTTGGGCCTATTTATCGCATACCAGGGATCATGAATCAGTTTTGAATACATCAGAATACTTGAAGAGGTCATGCTGCCTTATGCTGAAGAGGAAATGCCCTTGAAATGGGTGTTCCAACAAGACAACGACCCCAAACATATCAGTAAACGTGCAACATCTTGGTTCCAGACCAACAAGATAGACATTATGGAGCGGCCAGCCCAATCCCCGGATCTTAATCCAATAGAAAACTTGTGGGGTGACATCAAAAATGCAGTTTCTGAGGCAAAACCAAGAAATAGAGAAGAACTGTGGAATGTAGTCCAATCATCCTGGGCTGGAATACCTGATCACAGGTGCCAGAAGTTGGGTGACTCCATGCAACACAGATGTACAGCAGTTCTCAGAAACAGTGCTTATACAACTAAATATTCATTAAGTGATTCAAGGGAAAGCAAAATCTTCAAACATTTTTCAGTTTATATAGTGAATGTTTGAGTTTGTAAAGAAGAATACAAACACTCCGATTTTTTTGTACAGTCTAATATTCACTTTTCTTCAATTTGTTTAGAGGAACAACACAAATTTGATATATTTGTCTTCATGTTTTGATTTGGAATATAATGTGTCGTGTTCCCAATGCATTTGTATGTATGGAAATAAAAGCTATTAGAAGGATTTTGAGCATTATTCACTTTTTTTCAACACACTGCTATTATTTTGAACACAACTGTATATGTAAAGCGCTGTGTAAATTGACGGCACTATATAAGTACTTGAAATAAATAAATATTATTTTAAAAAAACAAAAAAAATCATTGCCTTTAATATCAATGTAAGGTTTGCATACCCTTCTTAAAAGTGAAATTTTGCAATGGCTATGTAAATAAAATATCTTCAATATGTTGTGGCCAATAAAGAACAGAAACATAATATTTCTAAGAAATGCTCTGCTATAAACTACCAGTGACAGCATCTAATTGGCTGGAGGGGGTAATCCTAGCAGTCAAGGAAAAATCCACCAACTAAATTCAATGGTTGGGAATAGTTCAAGTCACAACAAACAAGGCTGTAGTCTTCAGTCCCACTCTCCCAGACAAGCCTGCTACTTTTGTTTTGATGCCTTGGGCAAATGGAGATAAAATGACTTGCCTAAGGTCATGACTTGGCCTAAAAGAGCCCCCTTGCTCCCAGTACTCCCAGTGTTATTGTTTTCATTAACTTCCATTTGTCACCAAGTCACTCCCTAATCTTCCAAACAATCTTCCATAGTTCTCTGAAAAACATCCTGCCCAAATGGAAGTGATGGATTCTGAAAAGATTTTATTTGCTTACATTGTCATGTTAAAACTAGGGCTCGGCAAATTTAAAGTGGAACTATGGGCAAAATCAGGAGTGACATATACAGTATGATGCAGTCTGTCAATAGCATTTTTTTATTTCCCTGAGTCGCCCATCAGGTAAATCTGTTATGGTTTTGCCTTCCTTTTACAGACCAAGCAAAAGTAACAGTTACAGGGGTTGGAACAAATCATATAACATTGATGGAGAGTTTACAACAGTCAGATATCAGTCATATGTTTCAAAGAGTACAGTGTAGCTTCTTAAAGATTAAGTCAACTTTTTATAAAAAAAATAAATAAATAAATGCACACATACAGTTGTGCTCAAAAGTTTGCCTTCCCTTGGAGAATTGGTAACATACAGTATGTACCATTTTAAACCAGTTCCCACCCTGCATATAGCAAAATGATGGCAGGGCAGGACGTCATATGATGTCCTCCTGGATCGCGCCTTCTACGTGACCGCGGGGCGGTGCGATCTGTCACCGACTGTGTCCGTTGGACACAGCAAATGATTGATCAGTGTATCAGTGGCGGTACTGCTGTGACCAATCATGCTATCCAAATAGTACTATTGTGTTGCTAGCTGTGATTGGTCACAGTGATCGCATGGTACAGATTGGGCTAATCACTGATCACTTCCCCAGAGTAGAACAATGTTACTATGGTAACATTATATTGCTTTGGTCACAGTGTGTAAAAAAAAAATGGAAAAAAGAAAAAAATCAAATAAAAAACATATTTTTTTGTTGTTGCTTGTTTTGTTTACATACTGTCACCAGACAGTGTCCCTGATCTCACCGCCATGCCAGTTATATGATGACTCTGTACAGCACTAGTGACAGTATGTGAAAAAAATGGGAACTTTTTTTTTTCATTTTTTCTTTTTCCAAAACATTATGACAAAAATTACAACTTCAAAAAATTCCCCATGCCTCTTACTAAATCCCTTGAACTGTCTACTTTTGAAAAAGGGGTCATTTGGGGTATATCTGTACTGTCCTGACATTTCTGGGCCTCAAAAAATGAGATAGGCCTTCAGTACATCAGGATTGATCGATTTTCAGATACAGTATATACCATAGTTTGTGGATTTTCCTACATACTAAATAATAAACATTGAGTTGGGTTATTTTCATCAAAGAAATGTAGCAGAATATATTTCGGCCTAAATGTATAAAGAACAATTATTTATTTGCAAAATTTTATACAGAAACTAGTTTTTTTCACAATTTTCAGTCTTTTTTTTCAGTTATTTAGCAAAAAATAAATAACCCAGTGGTGATTAAATACTACCAAAAGAAAGCTCTAGCTGTGTGAACAAAATGATAAAAATTTCATTTTGGTACAGTGTTGCAATTGCCATTCAAAGTGTGACAGCGCTGAAAGCCAAAAATTTGCCTGGGCAGAAGGGGATAAAAGTGGCTGATATTGAACTGGTTAAAGAAAAACATGAGTTTTCCCCTGACTTCTCCATCAAGATCAATAACACAATCATCAGTCCCTCCCCCTCATGCCAGAGTACTAGGTGTAATCCTAGACTCCCATCTGTCCTTTCAGCCCCAAATCCAATCACTGTCCAAATCTTGTAGACTTCACCTCCGCAACATCTCCAAGATACGCCCGTTCCTAACCTCGGAAACCACTAAGCAACTTATCCACTCCCTTGTTATATCTCGCCTTGACTATTGTAACTCCCTCCTCATTGGTCTACCTCATCGCAGGCTATCCCCTCTTCAGTCTATCATGAATGCTGCTGCCAAACTCATCCACCTTACTAACCGTTCCGTATCTGCCACCCCTCTCTGCCAATCCCTCCACTTGCTTCCCGTTACCCAACGGATAAAATTCAAAACACTAACAATAACGTATAAAGCCATTTATAACTCTGCCCCAAATTACATCAACAATCTTGTCTCTAAATATCACCCAAACCGTACTCTCTGCTCCTCACAAGACCTCCTACTCTCTAGCTCCCTTGTCCCCCCTCCCATGCTCGTCTCCAGGACTTCTCCAGAGCTTCCCCCATCCTCTGGAACTCTCTACCCCAATTTATCAGACTATCGCCTACTCTGCTCACTTTTTGGTGATCTCTGAAAACCTATCTCTTTAGGGAAGCCTATCCTGCCCTCAGCTAATAATGGAATCTTCTACTCTTCCAACCAGTCCATCCCCCACAGTTACTACCTTTTGTACCACTAGCCCCTCCCTCCTAGATTGTAAGCTCCAAGTAGCAGGGCCCTCCTATCCCTCTTGTATTGAACTGTATTGTTGCTGTATTGTCTCCCGTTATATTGTAAAGAGCTGAGCAAACTGTTGGCGCAATATAAATCCTGTATAATAATAATAATGAGTGAGCAGGCAAGACACATTTCTTTTATTCCTTATGGGATTCATAATCGAATGAAGGTCATAGCAGAATAGCACAATCACAAAACAAAACATGACAACAAGTAAACAAATGGATCAACTGTGGGCATAGGATTATAACTTTTTTTTTCTTTTTATAGTTGAACTGGATGGACTTTTGTCTTTTTTCAGCCAGACTAACTATGTAACTATGAAATGCTCCATGTGCAAAATTCTGCATACCCTTAGTTCTTAACTCTGTGTACTGCCCCCCTTTAGCATCAATGACAGCATACAGTCTTTTGTAATAGTTGTCTATGAGGCCCCAAATTCTTTTAGGTGGTATAGCTGCCCATTTGTCTTGGCAAAATGCCTCCAGGTCATGCAAAGTTTTTGGTCATCTTGCATGAACGGCACGTTTAAGATCTCCCCAGAGTGGCTCGATGAAATGAAGGTCAGGAGACTGTGATGGCCACTCCAGGACCTTCACCTTTTACTGCTGTAACCACTGGAGGGTCAACTTGGCCTTGTGCTTAGGGTCATTGTTGTGCTTGAAAATTCAAGAGCATCCCATATGCAGCTTTCTTGCAGAAGAAAGCAAATTGTCTGTATCACGTACCTGGTAGCAGAGCCTGATATGATGAGGAAGGTCTCTCCTACACCTCTGACTCGGGGTCCCTGGTAGTGTAAACAGAAGGAGTAGGAGTGCAGAGTAGCATGAGCGCCTGTAAGTCTTGCTAGCAGCAGAGCAGGTGTCCATGCTGGGCAGGTAAAGACGTCAGGGGTCTTCAGTAAGGCAGGCGGAATGGCAGGCAGCTGGACAGCAGACTGAAGAAGACTGGTACAGGCGACAGCAGACAGCTGAGACAGTGGCCGATAGCAGCCTGTAGATCGGCAAGCACAGCAGAGTGGCAGGCAGGTACCATTGGCAGCAGGCAAGTTGCAGAGTCAGACAGACCGGGTCATACACAGAAAGGACAGATCAGGTACAAGGTCCAGGCAGAAGTGTGGTCTAGGTACAAGCCAGGTCTGGAAGCTGATCAGTGGAGCAGAAGCCAATGGAACAGACAGAAGCAAAGGTCAGAAGACAAACCAAGGTCTGTCCAGGCAGAGTTCAGGGGGGTAGTCAAGACAATCCTGTTCAGCAACTGGAATCAGGACAAGGATCTCAGAAACATAGGCTACACAGGAGGCTGACAACAAAGCAGCACTGATCCTGAACACTAGCCCAGTTTAAATAGCCTGTTTGGAACCAGCCTCTTTCATTTGTGTGCACGAGTATGCACATGGTACGAGCACCAATGTGTGTACGCATACGTGCATGCATATTAGCATGTGCCCAATTTCTGCGAGCACGAGAGGGAACATGTATTAGCTTATCTTGGGGGCAACACAGTGGCTAAATGGTTAGCACTTCCGCCTGGCAGTACTAGGATCGTTGGTTCGAATCCCAGCCATGGCACCACCTGCATGGCGTTTGCATGTTCTCCCTGTGCCTGTGTGGGTTTAATCTGGGTACTCTGGTTTCCTCCCACACTCCAAAGACATGCTGGTAGGTTAATTGAATCCTGTCTAAATTGGCCCTAATATGTGTATTAATAAAAGTTAGGGACCTTTAGATTGTACGCCCCTTGAGGGTTAGGGACTGATGTGAATCCATAATATATATGTAAAGCACTGTGTAAATTGATGGCGCTATAGAAGTACCTGAAATAAATAAATCTATTGGCATGTCCTTCCTGACAGTCTGCTAGTACTTTATGACAACATGCTGCAATCATCTTGCCATCAATTTTCACAAGATTCCCCAAGCTTTTAGAGCTCACATAACCCCAAAGCATCAGTGAGCCACCACCATGCTTCACAGTGGGGATGGTATTCTTGTCGCTATAGGTCTTGTTTGTATTGCAACATTGAGAAACGCTGATCTAGATCACTTTGATTTGTTTAAATTACCTTAATTTTCTTTTAACAGAGGTAAATATAGTTTTTTATTACACATTTATTTATTTATTTCAGGTACTTATATAGCGCTGTCAATTTACGCAGCGCTTTACATATATATTGTACATTCACATCAGTCCCTAACCCTCAAGGGGTGTACAATCTAAGGTCCCTAACTTACATTCATACATACACATACTAGGGCCAATTTTGACAGGATCCAATAACCTAACAGCATGTGTTTGGAGTGTGGGAATAAACTGGAGTACCTGGAGGAAGCCCACACAGGCAGAACATGCAAACTCCAGGCAGGTGGTGCTGTGGTTGGGATTACTGCAAGGCGGAAGTGCTAACCACTTACCCACTGTGCTGCCCCTTGAACAAGTTCTGGACTTGGTTAAGCTAGCCATAGATGGATCAAATCTGAACCGGCTGAACTGGTCGAGTTCTGATCCATCTATTGGCAGGCTGGTTGTTCTGAAATCAATCGATCCATCGATCAACTTCAGTACAACTAGCCTGTCAAATTTTTTGGATGCAATTACTGCCAGCAGCAATAGCCATAGCAATAGTTGTGTTTTGCCGGCCAGGAATGCTCCCCACCAGCAGAACGCAATAGTGCTGCAGGAAAGCAGTAAAAGAAAATTGAATTATCTATGGCCTGACTGACCTGTGACAAGTTATGAGAAATTTGAAACTTTTGAGAAATTTCAAACTTTTCAGACTCCATCTTCATTACATGTTGAGCTTCGAGTTGGGTTGTTGAATCTCTATCAGTCTTATCTGGCTTCTTTTTTAACTCAATTTTATTTTATTTAAAAAAAAAATGACCTAAAATCAGCCTTTAATGCAGCCACTTGCAGTATAAAAAAGCAACACTGCCAAGTTTGTAAGATCCCTCTGATTACATAACATATTATTACCGAGAGGTATTTACAGCGGTTTTGTGGTTTAACGTTGAACTCTGGGAATCTTTTTTCTCTTCCAGATGGTTTTAAATAAAGATCTTGTGTCCATTATTTTTTAAGCCAAGAAAAAACATTTGGACATAAACCGCGGAACTGCAGATGAATACAAATGGCCCGTGTTTTTTTTTTGCAACTCTGGCCGTATTATATATCCAGAAGTACCAAATTCCTTTCCCAAAAAGCACATAACATTCTCTAAGAGGCAGTGACATTTCACAGCTGGGTCAGTAGGATTCTGAAGTTTTTTTTCCCCTCTCTAGTTATTTAGTTTCAAAGGAAAAATCACCATGGCAACGCGCCAAAGGGGGCAGCCTATGCAAGTCTGTGAAATGTGAGGAGATGGACGCTTGATGCTTTCCTTCACCCAATCCTCCTTTCCTAAGTCTGCATTCCTAACTCTAAATTATGGGGTGTCAGTGACCCTCAAAGGGTGTAAAGTCAAAGTTTGTTTAGCAGGGAGCTTAGTAGAAGGGGGCAGGGAGACAAGGAAAGAAAACAGTTCAGTATTTCACAAAACCCGGCACTTCTGTGTTTCTTAAGAAAGTTGGGCAATATGCAGATTACTTGGCTTCATGCAGATATGTTGTTCGGTGGACTGACAAGAAGCTGGCTTTGGTTTAATGCTGAACATTTAACGTTTGAGCTTTTAAGGGTTGATTGACCTTTACCAAAAAATGAAGGTAACGGGCCTGTAGATGAAAACAAACTGTGCCGCTTTGACTAAAGTTAGATAATGCCCTTTCTAAAGGGGTAGGCCATTTACGCACCTCCTGAAGCCTGGGCGAAAAAAAACTCCCAGAGATGACGTTGTCTTATCCTGCCTTGTTGCTAGGGTGTTGCTAAGACATTTCCAGATGTTACTTCTCACCCTCACCTTCATAGGAGTGAGCTATCAAACCCCCACACATGTGTGGTTCACTATCTCCCCCGAAAAAAGTCAGTACCACCTCAAATGCCCTTTCTAAAGGGTAGGCCATTTACGCACCTCCTGAAGCCTGGGCAAAAAAAACTCCCAGAGATGATGTTGTCTTATCCTGCCTTGTTGCTAGGGTGTTGCTAAGACATTTCCAGACGTTACTTCCAGGGGCGGACTGACAACTCATGGGGCCCGGGCAATAGGGGATCATGGGGCCCCTGTGTCCTTGCCCAAACTCAAAAAAGCCTATGAAAAAGGTACCAGGGGCATCTCATGGGGCCCCCTACTGACCCCAGGCCCTCGGGCAGTGCCCGAGTTTCCAAATGGTCAGTCCGCCCCTGGTTACTTCTCACCCTCGCCTTCATAGGAGTGAGCTCTCAAACCCCCACACATGGGTGGTTCACTATCTCCCCCGAAAAAAGTCAGTACCGCCTCGAACATGTAGTCCTACGTTGGCTGGTATCACTGCTCTCTGGTGCCGGACAGGATGAATATCAGCTCATCAGGCTCTGCCAAGGCTACATGAACATGGCGCCCATTCACACACAGTCCCAGCACCCTGTAAATCCAAAATAAATGGAAATGGCTTTAGCTGGGTTCTTCCGCCACAGAAGAACGTCCCAATGCGCTTCACCCATGTGCGGCTGTGGCGTAGAGGTGGAGAAGCCAAATTAAGCCATTTCTCATTTAATTTGGATTTACAGTGTGCTGGGTCTGTGTGCAGATGGGTGCCATTTTCTTATAGAGAAGAGAGACAGCAGCGCCATTCTTCTCTACCTGCATTAGGAGTATCTACAAGCTCTTACAGCCAGCTGCCTCCCCAGACAAGTCCATATTACTACAAGCCCCCCACTACAGATGGACTTGGACACCACCTCCACATGGACCTTCTACTAACCCCCATTGCTGATAGTTCATCACCAAACGCACACAGAGTAGATGCATCTTAGCGCTCCCTCCCCCCATCTCCTTTTTGTTGTCACTACCTCCTTTGTTGCAGCAACAATGAGCTCATAGTTATTACAACGGGGGGGGGGGGGGGGGAACACATAAAAGTAGTTTGAATTGACTGCCAGTGTCTTAGCAATGTCCTAGCAACAAGGCAAGGTGGAATGATACAATCTCTGGGGTTTTCCATTCAGGCTTCATGTGGTACATATAGCCTATAGCAAAGACATTTGTTCATTTTGGGCAAGGCTGCACAGTTTATTTTTATCTAAAGATGCCCCTTACCTGTATAGGCAGATTTTGGTAAAGGCGAGCTATGTCTTTCAGGTCCCATTCACACAGCTGCTCCATCAGTCTGGTTTAGACTTGTGATTAGTTGGATTAAAAATGGACTCCAATGTATATCTGTGCAAATGTGTGCCCGTCTACATCCGGGTTCATTCAGGTTTGCAATACAGACTACAAAAAGCTTTGCATCCTGGTTCGCAATTGTAAACTTGAATGGATATGTGCGAATATAGGTTATGTTTGCATATGGATTCTGATAGTTATTACATGGGTCCATTTTTCCTCCATCGCAAAATGTATAAAAAAAAGGAATGGACACCAGTGGTACATATGTGAAGGGCTCCCTGCTAAGACAAAATGGAAGTGCTCATGTGAAAAGGATTTAAAACTGGTCATAGGCCTAACATGGCGGGCAGTTGTGAATGCTCCACGTGATCATCCATTGGTTTGGATTACATAAACATGTATGTTTGCATCACCTTAAAGCGGAACTTCACTCTCTCAATCAACATTGACTGTTTTTAGTCCTTATGTTGCTAACATTAATAAATACATAGGAAAGTATATCATATTTACTTGTTTTAAACTTTGTTTGTACATTTCTTCAACTTTTCCTGGTTTCCAGGCCTAGGTAAAAAAAAGGGTTTTTTTCAGCTAAGCACACCCTCCTTCCTGCATGCATGAGCTAAAGGTAGATGGATTCCAGGAAGAAAATGTTGCATGAGTCACCTGCCCTTACTCAAGAAGGCCATGTCCAGAAATGCCAGGAGGTGTTTTTCTAAGTAATGTCTTAGCAAAATAAAGCACAGAGACATGGATAGATGGGGGGGGGGGGGGGTTACATTGAATACTAACAATAAATTAAATAGTGTTTTTGGTTTGTGATACTCAGGTGCCATGTAGTTCCACTTTAATATATATGTTTATGTGAACAGAGCAGGTTGTCATTTTACTGGAATAAAGGCTGCCTTCCTGGAAAAAAGTATTTTTTTAAGTACATGGGGCTTCAGAGGAGGGGGGGGGGGGGGGCTAGTGGGCATGTGTGAACACTGGAATTGGGCTTTACATCATTGTTGAGATAAACATACATTCCAACACCAGAACTTGAGAATGTGGGACAGACAACGGTGTGGCTCAATGGAAGGAAAAAAAAGTCTGGTGTTGGTGGCTAGTGGGAGGAAAAAGGGGAAGGGGAACACTCCAAACCATACAGCAGCAAAGGAGCCAAAGCCAGGTGCTGAAATGAGAGTTCCTGCACCTGTCTGGCAATGGGACACCAGTATTGTCTTAGGGCAGCACAGTGGCTAGTGGTGGTTAGATCCATGGGACACCAGTATTGTGTTATGGCAGCACAGTGGCTAGTGGTGGTTAGATCCATGGGACACCAGTATTGTGTTAGGGCAGCACAGTGGCTAGTGGTGGTTAGATCCATGGGACACCAGTATTGTGTTAGGGCAGCACAGTGGCTAGTGGTGGTTAGATCCATGGGACACCAGTATTGTTATCCATGGGACACCAGTATTTTGGGCAGCACAGTGGCTAGTTGTGGTTAGATCCATGGGACACCAGTATTGTGTTAGGGCAGCACAGTGGCTAGTGGTGGTTAGATCCATGGGACACCAGTATTGTGTTAGGGCAGCACAGTGGCTAGTGGTTAGGATATTGATCCATGGGACACCAGTATTGTGTTAGGGCAGCACAGTGGCTAGTGGTGGTTAGATCACATGGTGACCACCAGTATTGTTTTAGGGCAGCACAGTGGCTAGTGGTGGTTAGATCCATGGGACACCAGTATTGTGTTAGGGCAGCACAGTGGCTAGTGGTGGTTAGATCCATGGGACACCAGTATTGTGTTAGGGCAGCACAGTGGGGCTGGTAGTGGTTAGATCCATGGGACACCAGTATTGTGTTAGGGCAGCACAGTGGCTAGTGGTGATTAGTACTTCCACCTGGCATCACTAGGGTTATTGGTTCAAATCCCAACCACGGCACCACCTGTCTGGAGTTTGTATGTTCTCCCTGTGACTGCATGGGTTTCCTCCCACACTCCAAAGACATGCTGGTAGGTTAATACTGTAACTCATGTTTAAATTGGCCTTAGTATGTATTAAAGTGGTTGTAAAGGCTGAAGGTTTTTTACCTTCATGCATTCTATGCATAAGGGTAAAAAACCTCCTGTGCAGCATCCCAGCCTCCCTAACACTCACCGAAGCCCCCTCTCGATCCAGCAATGTGTACTGGAGTCTCGGCTATCCCGGGACTCCCTCTCCTCATTGGCTCAGACAGCAGCAGGAGTCATTGGCACCTGCTGTTGTCAATCACAGCCAGTGAGTCAATAAGAAGAGAGAGGAGGTGGGGCCTAGCCGCGGCTCCATGTGTGAATGGACACACGAAGCAGCGGCTGGGGAGTGCACATGCTTGGGTGCCCCCATTGCAAGCTGCTTGCTGTGGGGGGCACCCATTGGGAGGGAGGGGCTAGGAACACTGACAGGGGACCCAAGAAGAGGAAGATACAGGCTGCTCTGTGCAGAGCCACTGCACACAGCAGGTAAGTATAGGCTTGTTTGTTATTTAAATAAAAAAAAATGGGACTTTACAATCACTTTTTTGTGAGTTGGAGACCTTAGATTGTACATTTCTTGAAGGTTAGGGACTGATGTAAATATACAATATGTAAGTAAAATGCTGCATAAATTGGTGGTGCTAAATAAGTACCTGTAATAATAAAATCCTGGGACAGTCCTATGGAATCCAGTACTCTTGGGAGATATGAATAAGTCAAGCAGAGGGTGCATTCAGGGCTGGGACAAGGGAAAGGTGGCTGCATTAGATAATTGGGGGCTTATGCTAGCAGGGGGATTTGTACTAGGAGGGTGGGTTTCTTTTAGGAAGGATTTGTGCTAGTAGGGATGATTGGGGAAATTTGTGCTAGAAGGGTAAATTTGGGGGTTGGGGATTAGTACTAGGAGAAGGAATTTGGAGGGGAAGGTTTGCTCAGAGGGGAAATTTGGGGAAGAGGCTAGTCCTCAAAACACGTCAACCTTTGGATGTCCATCATTCTCATTATAAGACAGAAATGCAGTGCGAATTGGACATAGTGGTCCCTTCATGATGTGCCTTATATTTATTTACTATTGTGAGTAGAATACCTTTTTTATATTCAATAAACATACTTTTAATAGGTAATGCACAAGGCCAGTGCGCCCTCTGTTTTGTTTTTCTCTAATAGAGGATTTGTGCTAAGAGGGGGGATTTGGGGAGGGAGATGATTTGAGCTGGCAGGCAGGATTTGTACTGGAAGAGGGGACATTCTTATTTGGGGAGAACTTTGGCTTGCAAAGGGAATTTATGCTTAGGGGGTAAGTGTGAAGATTAGTGCTCAAATGTTTTTTGGAGGAAGGGAGGGGATTTTTGCTGACATATAATGCTCATACATTTTTTTTTGGGGGGGTGCCATTTGGCATCTTTGCCCTGGGTGCTAGATGACCTTGTTTCGGCACTGGGTGCATTGATACACATTTTCAGATATGACTATGAAAACTACACTACAAAGTAGAAAACAGAGCTTGAGTTTGTAAAAAGCAATAATGGCCATCCTTTTATATATACAGTATTTACTGCAGTATACAATCTAAACATGGAAACACGATCTACAAAACAAATGTACACATAGTAATAGTATACCTTAAGCTGATCTCTTTTACATGTGTATCTTGAAAATTAATGAAAAAATTACACATTCCCTTTAAACAGCCCTAGCCTGTGTACATTCCCATGTGTACATGTGTTCCCAATACATGATACATTTCTGTGAACAGGTCACAGCATAGCCAAGTCATAATTTATCAAGATCTCTCCCTTTTGTGGGCCAAACTACTCCGAAGCCAGAAAAGATAGATTGGAGCAAATTTCTTTCATTTTACAGCTGATGCAGTACTAAAAACATGCTAGGATTATCCATTGATATTCAGACCACACAGGATCTAGGCTCCAAGCCAGATTCTATTAGGCAACTGTAGTGTATTTTCCACCAAGATTGCACATAGCAGCTAAGGCTCATAACCCCCGTCTGAAACAAGTAAAACAGAAAGCATGCAATTATATTGGATAAATAATATTATTTTATAGGGCTCGGGGAA